GCTCGTCACTGATGCTACATCATACAGCTGTTTCGTCCTAGGGCTCGTCACTGATGCTACATCATGCAACTGTTTCGTCCTAGGGCTCGTCACTGATGCCAAGAGCTTAAATTTTGAAACCTAGTAGACGTCATAGGAAAACAAAATTAGGGTTAGGGTTTTTTTTGGAGAGATGCTAGATTTTCTTTCTTTTTTAAAGGAAATGGAGATGAATTGTCTTCATTTTATGGTCATTCTCGCAGTCTCCTTCGGAAAGCCATACTTCCATGTGCGCAATAATGTTCGAAGTGAGACTTTCGTTGTAATCAATCGTAATTCATTTTGAAAAATGGAAAAAAAAATTGATTGATTTAGATTAACATTGTCGTCAATAAAGTTGACATTTACTTACTAGTCTAATTCCCCTGACCGTACTTCTTTTAAGAATACTCTCCAGCTAAATCTGTTCCTAATTGCCTTCGTTTCATCTAAAATATCCAGTAGACCCGTTTTTCCTCCTCATTCGTCAGTGCTTTGAGAATTCACCTCCTTATATGGTGTAATGTTTTTTTAAATTACAAGATTAAATATTCTGTCGTTGGTCGCTTTCCTTACTTCTATCATTCTGGCATACCATGTACGTCTCTCTATATATTTATCAAGTGTTTTCAAACAAAATCTTCGTCGAATTCGTATCTTAATATTTTAAAATTCACCTTATTCATCCTTTTTTTATAGAAAATTTCTCCTCCAGCCGGAATCGCCTTTTTGCATGACACTGTAAAAAAAATCTTCCACTTGTCGTACAATCTCATATGTGTCTGTCCAAATAATCGCAGTTTTGCAGATTGATATGAACTGAAGTTATCTCCCCTATCGTAAACACATGTGTATCTCATTAAGGCACTGTCTATGTAATCAGCACTACATGTTATATTTATGCTGTGTACAACACGTGTACAAGAGCTGTCTGTGAATTAACGTTCTTTGCCGGTTAAACAAGAACCTACGAATTTCTCGAATTAATTATTATTTTCTGACTTGTGGTCAGAAGACAGTATTTCAAGAATGTAGATACTTCGTCGATGCACATATTACCAGACGGATAACGGGAAATATCGACATATCTTGATATGTTTAGGACCAGCCAGAGTAGACATGTAAATTTTGGTTTAACGTGATCGTAAGAAGGGAGGATAAATGAGAGTATATAACAGCGAGTTAGCCCAGTGATGTGTGGAGGTCCGCCGCCATTGGACTCTCACGCTTTCTCAGTTTATTTGATTTGTTGAATTATCCTGCCAATGGTGCATTTCGACCTCTTTTACCTCTAACAATTTGATTTTTTTTGTCGATATCGATATCTATTTTATAAAGCTTTTCAACTTATTGTGGAAACAAGAGGGCTATCACCATACATTAATTCGCCTCTCTTTTTGTGTGTTCTCGGTCCATGAATTTGATACTGTGGTCGACCTTGCTTCATAAGCTTTTGTAAATCACGAAATATTTGGTTTTTTTTCCATCTGAATTTCCATCTACCTCTTGATCTACCATGAGCTTTTTTGACATCTTTGCCATGCAATTTGTGTCATAATGTCTGTCACGGGATCATTCTATTTATTCCAGACGAGATTCCACACCGAGTGTAAAGTAGGCGAATACATTTTGTATTATCTATTTAAGGAGGAGGGGGACATTACCATCACTTTCTCCCGCATTGCACGTAGATTTTAATTCATGATATGTGTCCTTGTAATTGGTATATTTGAATTCTATCTTGCTCATTGTGAATTCTCCGTACTGATTAGTTCACCCATTGCCTACCCTTTATTTATTTTTCTTGCTCCATGTCTACTTTAAAGCATATATTTCCGATAACAAAATTTAGCGTTTTATTTAATTATGCATCAGGCTACAGTTGCTCGAAGCATGATTAGTGGTCCGTGAAAAAATCTAATTGTTACCACTGACAAAAAACTTTCCGTGGACAAGAACATGAAAATACCAACATAGGAACATGACCATAATCGAAACTCAAACTCAATATAACTAGGTAAAAACATGAACAAAAGAAGGATTTACATGAAATTTCTGAAAAAGTACAAAGAGAATGAGACAATTTGTAAGAATAAGCATCTTTTGCTTTATCGACGACCCCCCTCCCCCCCTCCAAACCCTTCCACAACACCAGGCCTTATTGTCCCTGTATATGCCTTCTTTCGTTCCTCACCCTTCCTCAACACCTGGCCTTATTGTCCCTGTATATGCTTTCTTTCGTTCCTCACCCGTCCTCAACACCTGGCCTTATTGTCCCTGTATATGCTTTCTTTCGTTCCTCACCCGTCCACAACACCTGGCCTTATTGTCCCTGTATATGCTTTCTTTCGTTCCTTACCCTTCCTCAACACCTGGCCTTATTGTCCCTGTATATGCTTTCTTTCGTTCCTCATCCTTCCTCAACACCTGGACTTATTGTCCCTGTATATGCTTTCTTTGGTTCATCACCCTTCCTCAACACCTGGCCTTATTGTCCCTGTATATGCTTTCTTTGGTTCATCACCCTTCCTCAACACCTGGCCTTATTGTCCCTGTATATGCTTTCTTTCGTTCCTCATCCTTCCTCAACACCTGGCCTTATTGTCCCTGTATATGCTTTCTTTGGTTCATCACCCTTCCTCAACACCTGGCCTAATTGTCCCTGTATATGCTTTCTTTGGTTCATCACCCTTCCTCAACACCTGGCCTTATTGTCCCTGTATATGCTTTCTTTCGTTCATCACCCTTCCTCAACACCTGGCCTTATTGTCCTTGTGTACACTTTCTTTGGTTCATAATTTGCACTTGTTTCATCGATTGAGAAAATTAAGTCAGATTTCATTTACACATTTAAATAAAAATTTTGATACACTAAAACGAATTCCATGAATGTGTGAAAAGGTAACTAACCGATTTCTTCGAAATAAATTTATAGATGTAATGATTACGTAATTATTGACAAAACAGTTGTGACCTTACAATAGCATTACACAATATGTTTGTAACGTTTCATCCTCTATGACCCCATCCTCCTGGGATTGTACAAAGTCAAAGTGAATGGCATCTTTCATTACAATAGTATATTGTTTTTTTCATTCGTCTACGGCTCGTCAGTGGTTCTAGAAGAGAAAAAAAATGGAAGATTACGAGGAAAATCAGAATATAAAAGAGAAAAGATACAAAGTAGAGTACATGATTAATTCGTTTTATGACGTCAGAAGTCTGTCGCCGATAAATCAGCTGATACACAAAAACCCGCGCCCACGACAAGCCAGAAATCCAAGCGGATATCTTTAATGGGATGGTCATTCAAACTTCCCATCGGGAAGTTATACGGGGCATTTGTGTATCTACAGCTGAGCTATCCATTCATAAAATAAATATCATCCTAGCTGTTAACGGTAAGTGTATTTTATTCGAATTAGCTGTGTAAATATATGTAGCTCTTTACTCAATGAAATAAGAATTACAAATTAGCAAAACAAAAAACGATTGTCGGTAAGTAGAGGTATTAGATAAAATAGTATCATATTTTCTGTTTTCTTAGTAAATTCCACTTGGTTGACCAAAGAAATATTCGTCGGGTTTTATACTAACAAAGATTAACGCGATGTCAATACATGTACGTGTATTTTTGGATACTTTTTCAACAACATTTTAATATTTCGTATTTGAGATGTAATTTGATAGCCTGATGTATATAGTCAGTGTAGTTTTACTGTTATTTGTATGTTCGTGTACGGTGTAGTATATGATGTGTCTGAATTATACAGCTGTTCTAGTCGATGAAAGGTGACACTACAAGCAGTGATGTAAATAGCTTTGTTATGATGTGTCTGAATTATACAGCTGTTCTAGTCGATGAAAGGTGACACTACAAGCAGTGATGTAAATAACTTTGTTATGGTAACATGTATGTATCCTCTAACTTATCGTAACTCTCTTTTCCATTGAATATGTACTCTCAGACTCTTACGTAGATTGACCAAGATGAAGCAGAAGACACTTTCCCTTCCGGAACACCTAGTCTTATCATCCTTGTACTTGTTCGGAAGTCCCCTAGCGAATTTTTGTGTGTTTGTCTTTTTTTTTGTCTCTATACATAGTCAATTAGATTTTGTCGGTATTTTTGTGTTTGTCTTTTTCGGTATTTTTGTTTTTTTTTTTTGTCTCTATACATAGTCAATTAGATTTTGTCGGTATTTTTGTGTGTTTGTCTTTTTTTTTGTCTCTATACATAGTCAATTAGATTTTGTCGTTATTTTTGTGTGTTTGTCTTTTTTTTTTGTCTCTATACATAGTCAATTAGATTTTGTCGTTATTTTTGTGTGTTTGTCTTTTTTTTTTTTTTTTGTCTCTATACATAGTCAATTAGATTTTGTTGAAATGATAACTAAATAACTAATAATGTAAGTGATTAGTTTTGAACGATGTATTTATATTTTTCAGCATTAAAACTGCTACTACTTATATCCTCGAACTGCGAGATTTATTACTGTTTTTATTTTGCAGCATATAAAGTTTGTTATCATACTACTGTATATATTTATCATTGGTTAAGATCAGTTTATTATTTTATGAAGAAAGAGATGACGGGAATTTCACTTTTGACGATTTTTTAAAGCAAATTATTAAGTTTAATAAAGTTTTAAAAAGAGAGTAATGTATCAAGTATTTATTAGTCTCTTTTATTTTTGTTTATTTCTTTACGCATTTTTTGTACATGTTTTGTACATGTTTTGTACATTTTTTGTACATGTTTTGAGACACGGCTTTTAGGTCTTTCCCGCGGACTCAGAACGGAAATAGATAATTTGATCCAAATTCTAAATATCTATGCAAATACCACTCCATTATAATCTTCGTTAGTAATACTGAACTATCTATTTTTTCTAATCGGTTAGCGTGCATAATTAGTATATAAAATCAAAGTAATTAATCATTATTTTATAACAATATTAATTTTTACTTCACCAGATTCAAGATAAACATGGAGTGTCAGCGTCATATAAAAAACACGTAAGTTTTGATACTTTTGTAATGAATGCTTCAGAAAAACATTTGAATTTTTTTGCCCCGTTAGATAAAAATATCTTTTAGACATAAAGAACTGTACGATAGATAAACAAATCATTGTACATTACCATTATATCTGAGATATTCTGATATGTACTAATAGCTTAATCAATAGTATTATATCAATTTCTAACTCATTACAAACATCTTACATGTACCTTGGTTTTACAGGCATAAACAACGAGACCATCGTTCCCAACATGTTCAGACCCACAGGGTACGTACAAGTTTTTGCCTTATCTTTATTTTCATGTCTAATCTTTAGAACAGTTTAAGCAGACGTTAATTTTTATTTAAACTACATGGAAATAATATAAAAGACATACTACAACATATCAACTATAGTATACATAGACTTGACGGTCATTTGAAATATAGTAAACAATGTATGTGAGAATTATGAAATTTGTTGATTCAAGGCGCTAGTGCACCACCCCGTCCGAGTTCTAAATTTATTTCGAATGATTTTCGATCAATTACTTCCATAATCTATTTGTTTTTATAACTGACCGACCGTTTCCTGTTACCTCGCCCCCTACCCCACCCCGCCCTCTTTCTCCTCTCCATTGGTTTTTGTATATTTTTCTGTTATTTATTGTCTTTTTGTGTTAACGACATACATGTTTTTCATTATTTAGCCGAAATTAAGAAAGATGCCCTGCTTCGACGTAACACTACATGAAGCTACTGGCCTACATAATGGCATATTCGACAAAGGTAAGTGTTTATATCGACATACAGGGGCAAAGTTATCTGTGGTGTACCAGCATACAGAAGTAGACATATCGATATACAGGGACAAAGTTATCTTTGGTGTACCAGCATACAGAAGTAGACATATCGATATACAGGGACAAAGTTATCTTTGCTGTACCAGCATACAGAAGTAGACATATCGACATACAGGGACAAAGTTATCTGTGGTGTACCAGCATACAGAAGTAGACATATCGACATACAGGGACAAAGTTATCTGTGGTGTACCAGCATACAGAAGTAGACATATCGACATACAGGGACAAAGTTATCTGTGGTGTACCAGCATACAGAAGTAGACATATCGACATACAGGGACAAAGTTATCTGTGGTGTACCAGCATACAGAAGTAGACATATCGACATACAGGGACAAAGTTATCTGTGGTGTACCAGCATACAGAAGTAGACATATCGACATACAGGGACAAAGTTATCTGTGGTGTACCAGCATACAGAAGTAGACATATCGACATACAGGGACAAAGTTATCTGTGGTGTACCAGCATACAGAAGTAGACATATCGACATACAGAGACAAAGTTATCTGTGGTGTACCAGCATACAGAAGTAGACATATCGACATACAGGGACAAAGTTATCTTTTGTGTATCGGCATACAGAAGTAGACATATCGACATACAGGGACAAAGTTATCTGTGGTGTACCAGCATACAGAAGTAGACACATCGACATACAGGGACAAAGTTATATGTGGTGTACCAGCATACAGAAGTAGACATATCGACATACAGGGACAATGTTATCTGTGGTGTACCAGCATACAGAAGTAGACATATCGACATACAGGTGCAACGTTATCTTTTGTGTATCGGCATACAGAAGTAGACATATCGACATACAGGGGCAACGTTATCTTTTGTGTATCGGCATACAGAAGTAGACATATCGACATACAGGGGCAACGTTATCTTTTGTGTATCGGCATACAGAAGTAGACATATCGACATACAGGTGCAACGTTATCTTTTGTGTATCGGCATACAGAAGTAGACATATCGACATACAGGGGCAACGTTATCTTTGGTGTATCGGCATACAGAAGTAGACATATCGACATACAGGGCAACGTTATCTTTGGTGTATCGGCATACAGAAGTAGACATATCGACATACAGGGCAACGTTTTCTTTGGTGTATCGGCATACAGAAGTAGAGATATCGACATACAGGGACAAAGTTATCTTTTGTGTATCGGCATACAGAAGTAGACATATCGACATACAGGGACAAAGTTATCTGTGGTGTACCAGCATACAGAAGTAGACATATCGACATACAGGGACAAAGTTATCTGTGGTGTACCAGCATACAGAAGTAGACATATCGACATACAGGGCAACGTTTTCTTTGGTGTATCGGCATACAGAAGTAGACATATCGACATACAGGGACAAAGTTATCTGTGGTGTACCAGCATACAGAAGTAGACATATCGACATACAGGGACAAAGTTATCTTTTGTGTATCGGCATACAGAAGTAGACATATCGACATACAGGGGCTAAGTAACCAAATACATCCATATGTCGGTACAAAAAAGATTGACAGAAGCAGGACATCATGTATAATTAAAAGTAGAGCAGAATTACCAACTTGTAACTTCTTAATTAATTTTACGGCTATACATGTATGTACAGTATATAATTCTAAATTTGTAATGAAATGTGTTTTTTTTTTCTGAACAATCCTTCTTAATGAACAACATATTTTCCATGAGAGCAAATGATGGAAACTATTTTGGTTACAGGGTAATATTGTGATAAGTATAGTTAATGTAATTAGATCGCTCTCAGAATAAAGCAGTATCTAGCGATTTTGGTCAGACGACGAGAACAAACAAAATTTTCAACATGATTTTCGGTCCAGTAAAAGCCTGATTAATGACAAAAGAGACTGAATCAACATGTTTATAAAGTGTAAAGTACATATTGGTTGAGAAAAATTCCTTGTATAGGTTCTGTGCAGCTTGTCATTTCAAATAATGTATATTACTTTATGTTTTATTAATGAATAGGAATATTAATTATTTAATGATAGTAACCCTATAACTAATCTAACAGACGACTCGTGTTAACAACATATAGCTCGTTGTTGCACAGACCAGATCATTTCAGGAAATAAACCCTCTACTTCACCTTCCTGAATTGTATTGAGAGGAAAGTTCTTCCGGTGTCTGTGCTAATGGCTCGGTTAGTGTAATACACTTCCTGTTCAAGTATTGCGGAAGACACATCACGCTGTACTGAAAACTAGACCAGCTAATGACGGAAATAATCGAGATTATATTTGCTTACGTAAAAAATGTTTGATATTTTGATAAAAAAAAAACAACAAAAAACAAAAAACCACAAGAATAAGATGTCACCAAAACCATCAATGTATCACCAGAACGGTTCACAATATTTGTCTCCCAAAATTTTTCAAAATAATATCTTTTCTGTCATCAGTTTTTATTTTCCTTTGGAAAAAATGTCTTAAAAAAGTCATCAACATTACATTTTTTTTATGTCATCAGCACCAATCACTAATACATTTTCCTGCAGTCTATACATACTATTAGGGTATGACTTCTGTTAAAGACACTCACCGAAAGACGAAAGGGTTAAAACAGCGGTATATTCAAATAAATTATAAAAAAAGATTTCCATGTCTCTATACTGTTTCTGTAGCTAAATACAACCATTTAAAAATAAACTTTTATCATCGTACCAACTAGATATAGATATTAAAATAAAAAATGAAACTTTTAAAAAACAACATTATTTTTGTGATATATTATTAATGTTACAAAAACATTATTATTGAGGGTAATTTGGTATTAGATGTTTCATAATCAGACAACTTTACCTGGCTCAGAGTACTGTATATAATACTTTAAAGGTTACATTGGTCCCTGAACGGAAAACTTTTCGTCCTAATAGGATGTAACTAGGTCACGTGTTTCTATTATACGTCTCGTGTTCCTATTCCATGTCACATGTTCCTATTATATGTTACGTGTTCCTAATACATGTCACGTGTTCCCTGTCACGTCTTTCAATTATATAACACGTGTTCCTATCACTATTTTTTCCTAGTCGATGTGCCCGATCCCTATGTCGAGTTGCACTGCCAACAGACCGTGGAGAAACACCGGAAGACAGCTGTGAAATGGAACAATAGAAATCCTGAATTTAACGAGACAATGACGTTCACACAAATTACAGATAAACCAGTCATAGGTATAATGTTGTGTCATTTTTATTTAACATATATTCCACAAGGGTTTCCCCAAGGAGCTCGCTGTCGTCATCATAATGTTCTCCTGACCAAATGATGACATTGTCTAACGTCAAATACATGTTTCTTCATTCCAGACAAATTCTCCTTAAATCTATTCTGATTCCTGTCACAATCTATCAATATTTCAATATGGTGTCACATAAACACTAGTGAAATTCAATATAATTAGTAAGAGAGAGGGAGGTGGAAGAACGAGAAAAAGAAGTGTTGGTTCAAATCAGTGATGTTTGTTGTAGATATTATAGTTAAAGAGAAAAATACGTTTGTGGATGCAGTTCATGGAAAATACACGGGCGATCCCCAGCAGACACCAAACGTCATCAACCTCTATAAGGTATCGTTTGGTTTATCGAAGACATACAATATAGTTAGGAACATCTAGTGTTTTAAGGTCAATGCTTGTACAATATTACATTAATATTGTTTGTTCCTTAGTTATGGAATATCATAATTAATATACAACATAATATTAATCTAAATTACTGTCAGACAACACTTAATCATTCAATATATCGCTACTTATTCATGTAGGGGTTGACATTTGTTAGGTATAACTCTTTTTCTATACTGTAACCAGTTCGTTTTATTTTTATCCTCACAAATTTTATAAAAAATTATCCTGCTAGGATTTTATTTCTATTTGATATCATATTCAATATTACCGTTTTCAGAACGCTAACCTGCGTGTTGACGTATCCTGTAAAATGTAAGTATATGTAAACTTAACAGTATTCATTAGAGGCGAGTCGATTTTCAGATAAGGGGGTAAAGGTAGATTTTAAACAACATTTTAAAGTCGTGTGTCTCAAATGATGCTGTTGAACCAGCCGTGACGGTTAAATGATTAAACTGACTATGTACAGATCAATGCGATGTTAGATTCATAACAGACCGTAAACTCTCTTTACACTTGGTCTGTTGACACGTGCATTGCATAATCCCGTAGTTATAACTCTCAAGATCTCCTTTTCAAGTGTTTAATCCCTGGAACAGTTATAACTCTCAAGATCTCCTTTTGACGTCTTAAATCATTATTACAGGCAATCTCCGACCCTAAGGGCTGGCATGGAACTTTGTCAGGAAGAACTGGACTTCCGTAGGCAGAGATTACCAGTCGTACACAAAGCGTTAGAGAAACTTCTTGGACAGAAGATGCCTGCACCAGAGAGAGTAAGTAACAGAGAGGTCATTATATAATATCGTGTCATCACGAAATTATGATTTTTAAGATAAACTCACAATAGAAAAATAATAGATACAAAATAGACCACAGAGAAATCCCCTGCAGTAAAATGTACCGCAGGGTCAGTGCAATGTAAACTCTATACTAGAATTATCTTATTTTTGTGGTAAATTATTTCGTTTGATTTCGTCTGTACTCTATATCCACGAATCTTTATGTCCACGATCTGTCGAAAACTTAGTACAAATAGGCTTATTGAGCTATGTTTATCACAGAAATCAAGGGTCCCTCGAAAATATGATTTTATAAAAAGGGGAGAAAATACCGTAGTATGGACAATATTACAGTTTACAAATAAGTTATGATTTAAGACACTTTTCATATATTCATCAGTCTCGGACAGTCCAATTTCATACATCAGAAATAGCTGAGACGATACGATGCAGTGTAGTCCCATGTTACGCTGGTTGGACACCCTGACTAAGTTGTGAAAATCACTGCCTTAGCTTCAAAATAAGCAAATGATAAATATAATTTCATCTGATTTTGGGCAGATATACATTTCTAATGTCTCTATATTGTTTGTTTAAAACGAAGGAGACACCAACTTAGCATATTGTGTTTTCTTTAAAGAATTGTACAATACCACTCTATACAAACTTCGAACTAAATATAGTAGAAATCATTTACTGTTGAAATCAACATATTGATTACTGATATCGCCGGTCTATAGCTACCAACCATAGCGGTGCTGGGGTCTGGAGGCGGGTTCCGTGCTATGATGGGGATGAGCGGGGTCTACAAGGCCCTGGTGGACACCGGTTTACTTGATTGTGTGACGTATGCTGCCGGACTATCTGGGTCAAGTTGGTACGTTCTCCACGTAAATTTCTTAATTCATCATCGTTATTAATATTTTTCTCTATTCTATCAATTTAATCAAGTGTATTCAAATTCAGAAATTCTTACTTTGAGGTTCATTCATACGCATGTACTGTTGATATCCACACGGAGTATAGACACTTGTATCAATTGGGTTATTGAAAGCTAATTTAAAAAATTGAGAATCAGGGGAAATCTGGGTCTGATAATTATACCCTTCCGGAACACCTGGTACTTTTCTCTATGTGCTCTCATTTTTCTCTGTCAATAATTCTATTCGTAGTTTCATTGAACTTTGGTTAGATTAAATTACTGATGAAGTGTTGGTATCTTCTTTATGTTCATCACGTGTGGCCCTACACAGGTATCTGTGTGCATTATGTTCTCATCCCGATTGGCCACGAGTACACCCGTCCGTCGTGGACGACCATCTGAATCAGTGTGTGCGCAAGTCATTGTGGGATACCATCATGAATCTCCAGACAGTCAGAGACAGCTACAATGAGAAACAAAAGAGCGACAGACCCTGGACGTTCACAGACCTGTTCGGACATTGGGTCGGACATACCATTATTCCTGACGTAAGACTGTAAATCACATTTTTCAGGTCAAGTTATCAATGTACAAAGAAAACTTAGTAGTAATGGTGTTACTTTAAACAATAATTTGTCGGGCTTGTTGTCCGTTTTAAGAATAGAAGATTATACAATAATCACATCAAAAGAATATCCCCATCTAATACAAATAGAATTAGATACAACCGAGATGAATAATTAATAAAATCACCGAACAAAACCAATCGAAGGAGATGTTAACATCTAGACTAGAACGTACTTCAATAGATTTAGTAAAAGTAAGTACTTTTTGATAACGGTTACACGAAAAATTATATGACATCGTTACAGAGGATGCACTGTAAGTGGAGTGACCAACAAGACAAGGTCCGTGATGGACGTTGTCCACTACCTTTATTGTCCTGTGTCCACGCTGAGGTTAACAAGTCTGTTAAACAGTTTCATGGTAAGTTCCATTTTGGTAAAATCTTAATGTGCCCTGGATCTCATAGATCACCTTTTAAGAGAAGAATCGGACTGGTATTTCAAGCAGCTTGTAGAACGCATAACGTCGGATATTCCATTTGTCTTCTGCCCCTGGACATGGAAAAGTCTAAACCTTTTGCTGTTCCGAATGGCAGACGGAAATGTATTCCTTGCATCATATTCTAGTCTGTGTTTTCACTATCTATGTAAAGAAACAGCTGTTAAATCTTGTTCCTACCTGAGCCCTTGCAAAGAATATCTTCATTTCGTATCAATTAAGCTTCGATGATTCCAAATTGCTTGTATTTCCAGATTGGGTTGAGATTTCTCCGTTTGAAGTCTACATGCCGAGATATGCCACATCTTTAAAGACAGAGACACTTGGAAGTGAGTTCTACAAAGGAAAGATGGTTGTGAAGAAAGACGAGCTGCCTCTCCATTACTTGATGGGTGAGTTTCCGCGGAGAACATTGTCATAGTAAGAATATTATTGATCTAAAGGTTTTATTTCTTGTGAGTAATATGTGATTGTCAACCCAATTGAACACAGTATCAGTGGCCATCGGTACTTTTTGTTTAAATAAGTTAATTTTTGTTGACTGTATCGTTCAATAATGCGTGACAGCCAAGTGAAGTCTGCATGTGAATATTGTCAATGGCAGAATAGCCTTGGAGAACTGTGTCCCTGCTGTGTTGATTCTTATTGCTTGGAATCAATAATATACAACATATCACAACGTTTAAAACTTGTAGATAAAAGAATTCGTATGATCAGCAATAAAAAAGTAATATTGTTAAAAACTCTATACAATGTGTCAAATTTTCCAACTTTTAGAAAAATACAATGCGACAGTGTTTCGATTCTTTCCGAAATATAAACTGCTCTATTTTGCATATCATTGCAAAGTGTTTTGTACAATGTGTTTTTTTTAAATTATCCGATGTGTGCAAAGTTTTTATACGTTGTTTGCTCGGATCTTTTATGACAGGGATATGTGGAAGTGCATATACAGCGCTCCACAAGAGTTTCTCGGAAATGGCAGCCAAGTCCAAAAAGTTGTCCCGGTCGAGTAAGTTATTTTGCATCTGTTGAATAAACGAGAAACATAACAGTCTTCTCTTTTTCGTTCCAACAGTGAGCCAAAATAAAATGAAACATCTTTATACATGTAAAAAACCTTTACTATACAAGTCTTTCTTCGGATTTTATTTTCTATTTGTAATAAATCTTCATCTTTTCCCATGTAAACTCTAGTTGTCTTTCTTTCGTTGTCAATGCCCCAGCTCTCAGTTTGAGAGCATGAGGAAGTTGGATTTATTTTATCACAGATGTTTAGTTACGGTTACGGAATGGCTGATCAAACCGTGACATTTTCCTGTCGTTCATATCAATATAGATTTTCGGTATTTCCTTTTCAACTTTGAAGTTTGCTGTTAATCAACCAATTTTGATTTCGTAAATTCAAATTGTCTTTTGTACCAAGTATTTGAATTTACCCTATCCATATCAAAGCATGCGGTCAGAAGTGATAATATCTTCATCGCAAAGAATGACTACAAATCATTTATACAAATGTTATGATGATTGTTTTTTCTGAAGACGTAATTATAACTTGCCTTCATAACTAAATTCTTACTTAATACTATCACACCACGAGAAAATTATTATACAAAATTGATCGTTAAACAAAAATATTAAATACTATGAAGAAACCGAATCACCCTAACAGTGCTGCTAGAATCTCACATCACAGCGAATCGTATTTAGTATAAAACATCCCAGAGGGAGATGGAACTATAAAACAAAATTATAAATAAACTTATTATACACTTATATCAGAGTCCCAGAAATTTACATTTATATACCTTTGTTATTAATATTAGTGACGAGATTACGATATATTATGAATCGCTTTTTATAACTAAGTATTCTGTAATTGTCATTACGTGTGATTACAGGTAGAGGAAGTGAGGGAGATCGAAACACTTCGGAAGCTGTAGATAAGGACATAAGTGTTTGGATTGATTACGTCAAGAGAATCCTCAACAGGTAAACATGAAAAAAATCCAATTTATATTTAAAGTTGTGTTCATATACATTGTATAAATACTGCTTGTTATGTAAGGAGTTTGAAAAAATGGGTTTGTCTGCATATTCGTGCATGTGATCATACGAAAGGGGTTGGTGTAGAGGAAACATTTTTAAAAATCTGCAGAATTAGGAATTATCACTGAATGAATTCCATCTTATTTGATATGATTGAAACTTAATTGTAGATTGTAGTAATAATTATAAACTTAAAGCAATTTGTAAAAATGACAAAATACAAGCGATGTAAGATTCTTCGAGTATTGTATTGCACTTTGATGTCGTTAAATATGAAAAGCATTGTACATGTTGTTTTTTGTTTAGTTTTGGAATGAACTACCTTGACGACCGATCTGGCCGTGCCGCTAAAGTCCACAACTTCATGCATCAGTTGACTCTGGAGGAAATTGGGGAGGACAAGACCCCAGTAGATTCACCTGACGGTATGTGTTATTGAAACTGGTCATATTCTTATGAAAACATCGTTCAATCTTTCTTCAGACCGTGTATATACCAACCACCCAACCCTGAACGGAGTTCGAAGAAATGATTTTGTTTCGAAACTTCAAAACTTCTGCTAATATCACTCCATAGTATGGATGGTATCAGGAATGGTTTCAATATAATATCAGTGATGCCAGAACAAAGCTATTTTCTTTCCGTTTTCTGTTTAAAACGTTCAGATATAAATATAAATATCAACAACACACGTTGGTATAGAATGTCGGTAGATATTGTATGTAAGTACATTAAGAACATGTTTTATATTATCGCAGGCGTGTTCACCAACATCCAGGAGAAGATGTCTACTGAGGACAAATACATGTGTCTGATAGACGCAGGTCTGGCTTTCAACTCGCCCTACCCTCTGATCCTCAGACCGGACCGTCAGGTCGACCTGATCCTTTCTTTCGAGTTTAGTGACAGAGGCAAGGACGACAACCAACCGTTCAAGGTTTGTTAAGACTGTACAGTCACTCCTTACATAATTCTTGGTATCAAACAAAATTCTACAAGAATCATTTTTATACTTATCTCCGTGCTTCCGAAATCGGTTGTAAATTAGACCATTTTTTGGCGATGTCAAGAGTGACAGGAGACATCTTGGACTTCAACATGAAACTGTTTCTAATATGTAGGTTTTTACTACAAACCAAAAAATTCAACCAGTTTCAGGATTTCTTATAAGTTTTTCAACAGACATGTGCAAGCAAGGGGAAATAAGACGACTCTTATCCCATCCTTCCTTTTTGCAGATATCATAAATTCATGTATCTCATACTCAATCATCAACAGTACATACTTCTCTCTCATTGGATGACCGACACGTAAATTGATGATTATGACCTTTGACCTGTAGCGATGTTCTTTACAGCAACTGTTATTGGCGAAGCAGTGGGCTGACTGTCACAAGGTACCTTTTCCACCGATAAACATAAAGCAATACGAAGGCAAACCAGTTCAGGAACTGTACGTTTTTCAAGACGAGGCTGACTTAAACTGTCCCATCATCCTTCACTTCGTTCTCGTCAACAATGATTTCCGTTACCAGTATAAAACAGGTAGGTAAGATCAGGGACGCCCCTGGTAAGATACAACCAGAAAAATGCATGTTTTAAACTTACAAAGTCGTTCACCAACATCAGAGGGAACCAGAATACATCATCTCCGTTGTTCTCTGTTGTTTACAAACAAACGATTATGAAAGGTATCTCCCGTCATTATATCGTGCGATCTCGAGGCATAGGGTAACGGTGGAATGTGTCGAAAAAGCGTTAAAGAAAAGATTTTAACCACTACAGATAATGAATGAATGAGTACAGCAATCCAGTAAGGCGGTGAATTATTAAAGAACAATTCCGAACTGAACTAAAACAAAGGCTTGATCTAATATTGGTCACGTGCTGTTATGCTTAATACTTGGTAAATTGGGAACCATCGGCTTGGATCCCTTCTAATAGAAAAGTTTCCTGACGAAATTGGACACTTAGGAAGTAAGTTGTTGAGATAGTTGAACGGCGAAAACCATCAGTTTGATGTTTGACGCCAGTGTTTGCTTGTTTAAGAGTGTAACACTTTTCTAGAGAGTTCCAAATCACCTTAACTATTATTGATTTTCGTCTCAGATCATGAACAAGGTATTCAGCTGCCAATTTGAAGCTTGCCACATTAGTAAACAACAGAATGGAAACCAAAATATTTGGTACAAATATTCCACTGTACTAGAAATAATAATGAAATATGTAAATAAACACAACAAACCAACGAGTTTAATATTGATACATTGTCTGTAACGATTGCAGTAACAACCAGGTAAACTAAAATGCAGTAGAAAGATAAACATAGAATAGAGACTTACTTATAGACTTACCGACATACGACACGTGCTCCTCCATTACATCCCTACGTTAAATCACGATCTGGGAAGTGATATAGAAAATGCATATTTCTACCACAATAGGGTGTTATTTAGTTCCTAAGACATCAATTAATCATTCCGGTTGTTATATAATATTTTACCACACGAGTATTACCGTTTGATGGCCCTAATGACCTTTTATGTGTTGACGGGCCGTTAAAAATGTAATAATAATAATAACTACACGAGTATCACATTTTAGATGTTGCGGATGACTGACAAAATAAACTTTCACATCTAGGAAATTAAAATAATGAGTTCTCTATTGTTTTGTAGGATTTGCAATAATTTGATTTCTGTTTTGATTTCACGCCTTTTTTGTTTTGAAGATATACCAATTTAATTGACGTTATAATTTGTAATGAGTAATGATGTCTCCGTGTATTTCTGGAATTGCCAGTTTTGTATATTAATTAGCGACATTTTACTAAAGGTCATATGACTACACTTCCACGCATGACGCTAACAAAACACTTGGGTACAGAACAGGTCAATTCAAACTTGGTATTCCTTTCGATACAAATAGTTATTTTCATTTAAGTTCATGTTTTTGGTAACTTACAAAAATACTTTACTGAAAGTGAAAGAAATGCCATATACCAAAACTACTTGTGTAATCAATATATACCCTTTAGATATTGTTATGTATGCATAAAAATCTTTACAGGTACCAAGCAAACGGACGAGGAGAAGGAATTCGCTGACTTCAGTGTGTTTGATGGCGACACGTA